AATTCTCCAAAATCCTCATGTGCTTATACACCATTCATTCTCAATCCTCCAAAATCATCCTCATCTTCAAAACATTCATTCTCAGTCCTCCAAATCCTTGTGTTTCTCAAAACACAATTCATCCTCAATCCTCCAAAATCCTCCTAAACCACAATGAGGATTGAGGGTTGAGGTGGGTTACGGTTAAAAAGAAATTACAGAACTTTGCTGCACATCAAATCGATTCTTCTTAATGAAAAAAGTGAAACCCTGAGCAGTCTTCTTAAGTGCATCTCATTCCCCACAGTATCATATGGACAAATGGTAATGTATTGTGCTATATCAGATTCAAACCAGCCAGCCGACCCCAGCAAGCTCGGTGATCACATGGAAAGACGTCTGCACTAGAAAGCAGGAGGTCTTGGGTTCGAATCCCGCCCGAGTAGTTTGTTTATGTGTTCTTTCAATCACTCGAGGCAACACTGAGTATACAGTGTTTATAAAAATACATCGGCGAAGGGTAAAACCCAATAGTGAATTAACATCACCCTCTTGCAAATCTTTGCATAATTGGCCGTAATCAGATAATACAAAATACCCGGATTGATTGCCTTGAGACCCAAAACTTACCAATAGGGTGACAAAAGCAGGAACAAAGTAGCTTGTAAGAACTGTTGACAAAGAAAAAAAGGAAACATTTTTACAAATGTGCAATGCAGCCATGAGATGTAGTTGTGAGATCCTTTCAGTCCAAACGGGAAATCTCAGAAACAGGGGTGACTGACAGGTGCATTCGATATAGACATTTCTTTAATGAATGCTGTCGCTAGGCCAAATTTACTTCAATAAGGGGATAACAGTGTCACGGAGCAGTTACATTTTACATGTGGTTTAACACCTGTTAAGGGCCTGGCCACCGATCACAACCAGGCACTTAATCGGTTTTAACTATTTTTGAAAAATTGAACAAAAAAATTGACTAGAGCGGGGTTGAACCTGCGACCTCCGGATCAACCATTCCGGTGCTCTACCAACTGAGCTACCCAGCCGTTTGTTGGTGGTTCTCCAATTCCTTAATATCTTTGTTCTAGGGGCGCTAGTCAGAAACCCGTATATGCTATGCAGCCAGGGATCATGCCTAAATGATGCAGACCTAGTAAAAAGTGATTCGCCTCGTCAGTTTCCCTGTGTGGTTCATTTGAAACTTTGCAATAAAAATCTGTATCCTCTCTGAGTGATCCCTGTTTGCTATTTCCAATTTCAAATTACTATTGTTATTTCTTTGCATGGCAGGTTTTCATGAATTGTCAGTTTAAAACCAACCATGTGATGCGTGATCCACCAATAGAAATGGTGAAACTGTACCAGTTAGTTATTGAATGTGTTTCCCAAGCACAAAAAAATGCAATCTTTGTCAACTAGTCAGACTGCCAGACGAAAGCCTTATCTAGGAATATGGCAACCGACAGAATGTCAGAAGTAGAAGCCCACATCGCTGTTTTAAAGAAAAATATTAAGAGATGATCTGCATCTTGGACCAAAAGTTCAACTCACTCGAGATGCAGAAGAAGATGACGGCTTTCATCAGTTTCTTGATCTCCCTGTACCGCACGCTGGAGATCTCACTGCAGAAGATGCTCTCCCAGCCGTACAGCTTGATGAGCTTCATTCCTTGCAGCATCTCGTGGGTCTGCTTCAGCCTCTCATCAGAAATTCTCTGTGAGGGAGAAGAGAGGGGATCAAATTGGAATGTGGTAGGAGAATTTGGTTTTAATCAGATACCCTAGCAGTTTACTGCAATTTTGTCGTTAGACCAAAACTTAAAATCTTAAGAACGATGCGCAACAACTATTAAACCTGTTGAAGTTTCAGCTCAGTGGATACTACACATTTTGAGAAAACAGAAAAAACGTTTGCACAGTTGTAGGGGTAACACACATAAAACACCGTGCCTGCAGGCACACTTTCTCAAACCACTTTCAATCATGGATTTCCTTCAGAATGATACCATTTCAGGCGGAAAAAAATTCACAGGGTATTAGGTCCCAGTCCTATCTTCACTTTGAGTAAGGATTTTCATGTTAAATCCGGAGTTACAGTTCAGGGTTATTGCAAATGTTCTGGCGTGTGTTAAAACCTGGAGGGCCACTTCACATGCAGGACTGCAATAATGAGCCAGTTACTCAACAGCCAATGTTTAAACCTTGACCATTCCACTTGTGCCAAAACTTCAAAAATGTGTACAAACTTTTTGTTGAGTTTAGGGCAAAGCTAATCAGGAAAACTCATCACCTGTGCTGCCAGATTTAGAGTGATAATCTGAAAACCTGATAAGACAAAATGCAATCAGTTCTGGTGAAAATAGTCAACTGGTCCAACCACTGACTTGAGTCACATCAGCAGAGACTCATACTCGGACTTGGACTCGACCATCATGACTCAGATTTGACACTAATGACCTGTGACTCACAATTCAGTTTGTTATTAAATCCCCATTCCCTATTTACTGTGACAGCACATCATTTACATATCGTTATAGGTGTGCCCATGTCCATGCACATCCATTTCATAGAAATGTGACTCGAATCAATTGACTCAAGACTCACACTGTGACTCGACTCAAGACTCACAATCGACTCAAGTGACTTGGCTCCAACACTGATCTTACCAGTGCATGCTTCTGGACTCTGGCTTGGAACTGAGCCAGCTTGTACTGGATCGGGATAGCGATGACGAAACAGACGGACGCAATCAGGGCAGCCACGCCCAGAAGGTGGACAAGCATGGCCATCAACACAATGATCTGTAAGAGTTAACATCACATATGCAACAATGTTCAAACCATGTGCAAAGTGGTATCACATAGACGTTTATTAAGGTAGAGTAGCTCATTTGTCATTTGTGCATTTTTTTTTCATTTGAAGCAACAAAAGTGCTCAAAATCTGAAGACGGGTGCCCAACAACTAACCTGATGAAGTGTTAGCTCAGTGAATGCTGAATATTCCGAGAAAACAATATGCAAAGATCTCGAATTCAATTCAAACCTAGCCGAGTCACATGTTTTGAATTGCGCCTGAAGTCAGCATCCAGGACACATTCTCATTCAGCCGATTGCAGTTCCGCCATGTCATGCACTGAACCGATGAATAATAGCACGCATGTGTGCGTCATGTCAACGCTTGCGCTCACCCATAAACAAACCTAACTACTGACAAAATTTCCTGTACTGAATTTTTCCCGTTTCCCCCTCATTCGTGACTATACAGTGGAACGTCGCTATACCGAACACCGCTATACCGAACATTCAGCTATACCGAACATCTTCTTTGGCTCCCGATTTTCGTGTACAAAACGTACCGAACATTGTTATTGAAAGATACAAACAGAAACTGACAAGTGGCTATCATTTCCCCAAGGAATAGAAGGGGAAAGCCACCTATCGCCGTAGGTAGTAAGCTCAAAAATTGTGTTATTACATAATTCAATAGTTGGCATGAGTTCAGAGTCATCTTTCAGTAACACATGTACCGGGGTGATGCATGCAGGATGAAGTTCTGAAGGGCACTGTTTATTGAAAAGTGAGTACCGGAGCACCGCCAACATAAAATCGCTATACCGAACGATCGCTATTATGAACAATTTGTGTGGATCCCGCGGTGTTCGTTATAGCGGCGTTCCACTGCACTTGGTTGCAGACATTTGCCAATTTCAGCCATTTATAAGAACTACAGAATCAGCAGTGATAAATGAAGTAATTGCCACTATCATATTCCTCATTTGACTTTCTTAACTAGTCTCACCGACACCTACTTCAGAAACTGACAAATTATTGCTTTTGAATAATGACAATTAATCCTATCAGGAACGGGGAAAAAATACTCCAAATACGAATTTTCTTGTAGTAGCCCGGAACACTTTGGCTGATGGAACAAATAATTTGCCACCACCCAAGTTTTGCCACCTCAATAATTTGTACCGACATCTGATCCGTCTAATGAAGAAAGACACGACTGTAGGCAACTATCCCTTCGACCAAATTGGAATGCCCTAATCTTTGGCTCATGGATTATATAAAATTTTATATTGTTGAAGCAGAACAAGGACCTCTATTGTGCTTTAAATAACACCCAAGTAAGTCCTTGTCATTTGATTGGAGGATTGTAGGTCAGGCGACATTCATTAATAGAACCATTGCAGGGCCTACGTCATAACCGTGCATTTTTGGTTCCATTCACCGTGCATTTTCATCCCATCCCTTTTAATCTATTGCAGGCCGCACACATGCTAAGATGCGCAGCGGGCCGGCGACATACGATCTTCACGCTATTTAGACCATAGCATGCATTATAGCAGTACAAAAATTGCCTTTGAAGTGGATGCAGTTGCCTTAATGATTTTTTTTGCATTGTTTTAAGAACTTACAATGTCACTTTTCATTAATGTCAATGATTTGACTTTTAAACCTTTGCCTTGCACAAGCTCAAAAAAGTAGTGGATATGATACAGTTTTGTGAGTTTTGTTTGTTCTTAAAGTTTTATCCTCCAATCAAATAACAAAGATACACGTGGATGTTATATAAAACAAATAATGAACGTTTTGCATTCGTGCAATAGTGAGAATATATTCATTTGTTGAAAGATGGAATGTTCCATTTTCGCCTCGTTGAATGGAACGTTCAATCTTTCAACTCATGAAAATATTCCACCACTGCACTCATAAACATTTATTATTTGCATACTATTTGCCAAATTCAGGGAGGCAAGGTTTGGACAGTGTTCACTCACCATTAAGGGTAAGGAGTAGGCGTACTGTCCATACTGGTAGAACATCATGAGGTGAAAGGCATCGATGGACATCAAGTTGGTGATCTGCCCGGTAGTCATGGCTCCACTGGTAACCGTCCAGCCAGACAGACGGAGGGTCTTGTTGTACACTGCGGCCTAGGGATAGAAACAAAACGAAGCTACGTGCAGTGTCACAAAATGACTCCCAGAAAAAGAAGAAAGGTAGTACAAGTAGACAAGGCATCGAGGATAACAAATTTCTGATTGGAAATTGATTGCATACACTCCGCGTCACTGCCCAAACGAGAGTGGACATCTTTTGTTCACGGGTCCAGACCTAGTGTGGACATTCCTTTGTTTCCGTATAGTTACGAAAAACCGGCGAAAAAAAACTCATTTTACTCGCACCGTGAAAAGTCTTTTAACCCAAATTTTTGATCATGATTTCCTTAAGCTTTCTTCTTCATTTTGTGACACATAACCCTAACCCAAAATACCTCTAAAATTATTTTTCAGAGATGGGAGAAACATCGCGTGGATGTGGGCAAGTCCACACACTGTCTTCACTACCTGCACTGTGTGGACATCCTTTGTTCAGAGGTCCACACAGTGACTGCACTGCATGTTCTCATAGTGCAGGTAGTGAAGACGCAAAATGAAGAGGAACACTCGACGAAAATCATGATCAAAAATTTGGGTTGAAAGAGTTTTCACAGTGGGAGTAAAATGATTTTTTTTCTCCAGTTTTTCTTAACTACATGCAAACAAAGGAATGTTCACAACTGGGTAATGTAACGTTCCCATAGAGCTATACTAAAGTACTACAGCGCTGACTCAATGTACAAAGTGATGCCTGCTGGGCGAATTCATGTTTGTGCACAAACCTATGGAAAACTCAAAATTGTGTACGGCTTTTGTACAGCTATTTGCATATCTGCCTTTGCATTCTATACAGGTGCGTTATCATAGTCGATATGCCCAAAACCGAAACGCACTATCAGCAAATGAGCGTGTCATTTTTCTCTACGCAAACAGCGCAACGCATGCAATTATCCGCTGCAGACATTTTTGCCGTGACATTTCTTAACCGTCATGACACGCTTAAGTTGTTTGCGTATGTTGTACTTGACTGTTGCATTTAGAGTACACTTTCAAAATTCAATCCATCTAATTTCATTATGTTCTACAAACACGCACATGAATTCAAAATGTCTGCGCCCAGGACAGCTTCAAAGTTTCTCCCCGCATTAGAATGTGGATCGAGTTAGCACTCTAGTCATTAAACCCTAACTCCCCAGCATAATTTACTAGGAACCATATCCATTCAGGCAAATTCCAACACCCACATGGGAAATCGTACACACACACTGTTGTACTTAGTTTCTGGAGGTATGCCAAACCCAATGTAAAAGACCATCAGTTTAGGGGTACTGTACCTATCCCAACAGATTTAAACAAAACCTGCTGTTGAACTTTGATGGGTTGAGTTCGGTTCGGGTTAATATAGCTCTACGGTCCTTCTTCAGCCTCCTAACAACACCACACTGCAACAAAAAGTACAACCAATATCTTAAGACATTCCCTACCTGTACTCCAGCTCGGAGATGAATGCTAGATAAGATCAGGCAGTGGTAGTTGCTATGTAGTATGACCACCCTCAACAGCCCAACGGCACCCATGATGAACAGTAGAACAAAACCATCACTGAAGAATTCATTTACGGTTACAAAGTCGGATAGCTGTTCAGACAAACAAAGATAACACTAATAATTGCCATCTTCATGTACGTGATTCTCAAAAATTGTACTCAAAAATTGAATAAGTTTTTACAAAATAGCTCAGTAACCTACATAGTAATAATGCAAAAGAGCCCTTGGCAAGATGGCAATTTGGAAATTCATTGACTGAATGACTTTGTAACCAAAAGTTTGACACATCCTTTTTTTTCCAATTGATTCCCGGTGAAAATTATGATTCAAAATATTTACTTTAATAATAACATAATAATATCGAAGTCTTATATAGCGCACGTATCTACCAACTATTAGGTACTCAAGGCGCTGGAGATATGTCTATTATTAAAGAAAGGTAAATAAAGTTTATGAGAAATATGAGACCCGTAAGTAGCACCTGATAAGGGTTTACAAGGAGCTGCGGCGCATATTGCAGCCACTGCCAGAAACACCAGGGCAAACCCTTTCTCTTAGCGATAAGCGTTACTGGGTTCTTTAACGTGCATTACACAACACACGGGACCTACGGCTTTACGTCCCATCCGAAGGACGAAGCAATAATGGTAAAGTGCCTTGCTTAAGAGCACAAGCATCATGTTCCCACGGTCAGGATTCGAACCCATGTACCACGGCACACGAGTCGAACACCGTAACCATTGGACCACAGCAACCTATGATTTTCTTTTCTTAGGACAGGACAGCAAGTGGAAGAAAAGGACCAACTTTAACTCCTGAAAATGGGGGGAGACTCTGCTGCAAATTAAATAAAGTTTCAAATAAAAAAATAAAAAATTTAAACAATTTACTTCATCAGTTGTTTTCTCCTTTTCATAGTACAGCACCGTTGCGTAGGTGACAATTCCCCCAACAGTGAGAGGAACGATGAATTGAAGGACGTCCGCCAGGGTTTTCAGAAGGAACGCCGCCACTTGCCAGCCAAGATAAGCCCTGAAGAGGACACGGTATAAGGAGAAGTGCTCCGGACCACCCAACTTGGCAGCTCTCTCCTGCCAAAAAAAAGGCGAAAGAAATGTAATTCTAACTTCCTTGACTCTTTTGCTAGGATGTAGCATCAATCCTGCAAAATCTTGCAATTGGCCTCAATAGGCCTATTAGCCTCAATCCTGCAAATTCCTCCATTATTTCTTGAATATAGTCCATGGAGGGGTGACCACTGCCTGAATCCTGCAAAATCCTGCGGCAGTGACTGTCAATATGTTGAGGCTTGACCAGTGACATCCTGGAGCAGTACGGAGGATTTCAAGCATAATCCAGGCCTATATTTATGCATGGCTGAGCAAAAACAACACAAGGTTTGGCCCAAAACCTTGACAAATTGAATCCTAGGAAATCAGTAACGCACTTTTGCCATGTAACCTCAATCCTCCAAATTCCTCTGCCTTGGCAAAAAGGTTTTTGAAGGATTCAGGACGATTAGGGTTAATCATTAAATGTGAAGTTGCAGCATTCTGTGACCACTAGCAGTCCAAAATATTAATACTGTCAATTAATTAACCTTAGCTCAAGAGCTGGCCTAGGCTGTGGAAGTTGGGGTGGGAGGGGACATATTGCCTCTCCCCCCTCCCTCTCCTAAACTGAATATTTTTTCTTCAACAATCTACTGTAACGGAGATATATAAATAGCGTCCCTTCCTCCCCCCCCCCTGTCAAAAATGTTCCATCTACACTGCCCTACACTGGCAACTTTTGCTGAGAAACGTCTTGAGTCCTCCAAAATTCAGCACTAATGTGAAGGGACCCATTGGTCTATTCTTTGCACTAACATCTTTCAAGGGCCATCAAAAAAAAAAAAAAAAACTAGCAATGGTTCCTTGGGCTGCCTTCCTCCATCCTGAAAAAAAAATCCTCCCCAAACCTCCTAGCGTTTTTTTGGGGGCGGGGGAGGGGGGCATTTGGATGATATATGATTAATTAGGGAGCAAAGTCTCATCCCTCTACAGGTATAAAGCTAAGGCATTTTTGTCGAATGTATCGAAAATAATATAAAAATTGTTTGCAGTTTATGAAGGCCTCAGTCAGAAATGAGTGCCTGGATTTGTAAATAGTTCGGAATATTCACTTCAGATGCATGTAATTCCAAAATGATACTTTGGGCCTTCACATACATCTCTGCAGGAGTGCTACAGGGCGATACCCTCGCTCCTTATCTCTTCATCATTGTGCTGGATTATGCTTTGAGGAGGGCCATTGACGGGAGAGAGGTGGAGTTAGGTTTCACCTTGACACAGCGCAAGAGCCGGAGAGTGCCTCCAGTAACAGTCACCAATCTGGACTTCGCCGATGACATAGTACTGATCTCAAACACTGTGGAACAGGCTCGTACCCTTCTCCTCTCAGTGGAGGAAGAATGTTTGAAGATGGGATTACATCTCAACACTGAGAAGACCAAAGTGCTGGCATACAACACGACTGACGCTACCATCCACACCAGAGACGGCACGCTGCTGAAGATCGTTCCGATTTCAAATATCTTGGAGCGTATGTCGACTCAAGCGGAAAAGACATCAAGACCAGACGAGGATTGGCGTGGTCAGCACTTCACAGCATGAAAAAGGTATGGATGTCAGCCATCAGTACGATTGAGTACGTTCTGCTCTATGGTGCAGAGACGTGGACCCTCACAACCAAGGAGGAGAAGTCACTGGATGGATGCTACACTCGCATGCTACGTATAGCCCTCAACGTATCGTGGCAGGATCGTATGAGGAATGATGACCTCTACAACGGCATGCAGAGAGTGACTCACAAGATCAGATCTTGCTGGCCACTGCGTCCGCCACCCTGAACTTGCTGCTCACCCAACCATACTGTGGGAGCCCACCCAGGGCACTGCCTCAAGACGGAGAAGAAGTCTGACCTTTGTGGACCAGCTCAAGAGGGACACTGATCTCACATCTGCAGAGGAGCTGCGCACCTGCATGGTAGATCGAGACAGCTGGAGGAAGAGGACTCAGGGACTGGCTCGTGATGTCGTCACAACCCAGGCGATCCTGACATGATGATGATGATGATGATGATGATATGTGATGCGATCCAGCTAAATGAGTTGCTTGTTGACCCTGGTAATTTTCTTTTTACAGATTTGAAAAAAGCACAATCTCAGCATTACTGCTGTGAAAACTGCATGCTGGTACCATCTTTACTTCAAAATTAATGGAAGTCGGAACACCAAAAGATGTGATGAAGCGATACGATGAAGTGGCCCTATTTTGGCCTGTATCTCCAAATGAAAGTTCCTGACAAACGACTCATTTAGCTTGATCGCATCACATATGGTGTTTTACATGTACATGTACTTTGACTTTAAGATGCACTTCAACATTACATAAACCTTGGTATGGTTTTCGCACAGATCAAACAAGTGACACTGGTGATGTATGAAATACATTCATCAGAAAAAATGGAATGATCTTTTCAAATGTTGAAATCATGCATGCATGTAAAAAGAGTCACTTTACAGTCCGAAAAGCATATACATGTATACCTTTTCTTTCTGCAGATAAAACTCAAAGTTTTTCTCATTGGAGCGGGAGGTACTCATTTCGGGCAAACTGCCTAAATCTTTTATCTCCAGAGGGTGTTGGTAACCCACACGTAACAGCCAACCCGGCCAGGTGAAGAATATCAGCGACGGAAAACTCACATATCTGTCGGGAAAAGTGAATTTGAATTCAATGGTATAAATCTGATTAATAACCACAAACTTCAATAATGAGGTAAGAGGGGAACGCAAAATAAAAGAGGGGGCGGGGGAAGCAGTTACTGGGAGGGGGCATTATTATCATTCATTTACCTCATGTAATATTTCATGTCCGGCTTCAACAGATCATCTGGTAGACTCTTGTGTTTGGATCGCCTCAGAAACTGATTGACAAAATTAAATGCAAGTTAGATATAAAAAGCCTGAAGAAAGGAGAAAAATACAAGAAAAGATTAAAATACTCGTGAAGATGTACATGTACGTACAAGCATAATTTCGTCGTCTCAGTTCTAAAAGGTCCTTGGTTCAAATGTTTTGGGTTTTTTTAATCAAATACAAATAAAAAGGAGAAAAATTGCTGCATTGAGAATTTACGTAAGTGTTTTCATCACTGCAACAGCAAATCGAGAAGGGAACTTGTAATCGCATAGGGAACTTCTAAAAATAATGGATGTTTCTAGGAATAGTATTTTTGACGTAAAAGGTTGCTGAAAGGCGTTTGGGAAAACAAAACAAAAAACAGGATTTTTTTTTCAATTTTTTTTTTTTTTTTAAGTCGCCGATAAACATTTTAGGGTCGCAGTCGTAAAAATAGGGTAGGTCAGGTAACCGTAAGCAGAAATATGTAATATTTTGTGGGCTTTAGTGAATCACTGACCCTAGCACTTACCATCGTGACTATCATTGCACATAGCTCAACAAGAAACAATACTGCATATGTAGAAACCATAAATACGATAGCATCAAAGCGAACGATTCTAACGTCGATGTTGTCAAGGTCTTCCATCCAGCTAGACAGTCTGAAGCCTTCCCAACTAGAGCAAGCCCCCAGTAAGCCAGCAAGAGCCAGGCGAACCCTGGTCTCAACCAGGCCTCTGCATGATGGTAGTACACACAGGCCAGCGCAACCGCCAGGAAGGCACAACTTGCCGGAAGGTACAGGTGGGGCTGGGTTTGGCTTCGGGGGGACTTGAAATCCGACAGCACCCCTTCCAGGATGAAGAACGTCAAGGCGAAGAGGAGGGTGAACAGCAGGAGCCAGCGGGTGTGGTGGCAGGGGTAGTGGAGGGTGTACGGTGTCTTGTCCCGTCTGAGTCTGGGAAAACATCCGTAGACAAGCAGGAGGATGGAGGTGAGGAGGATGAAGCCAAGATGCGGGATGCAGCTCAAGTAGTCTGCCCGGCAAACTGAGACGCTGTACCATGACGATGCATTCCCTACTTGGCCAGGGCACAAGTAAGATGCCATGTCCTCTATAGCTGCTTCATTCATCTTTGAATGCTGCGTGGTAAATGTACATTGTAAATATGAGGTGTTAAAGGGAATATACATCATTTGCTTTTGCTGTAATTTTCAGAAATGGATGGAATTGGGGGGTTGGAAATATATAGCAAATATAGTTACACTGACTTTTTTTGAGGTTTTGGGTTCGAAAATGCTATAAAAACCAAGAAAAACGATCATTTTCCTGTAGTCTGGTTCCCTGACTCCATATAAGAAGAAACAGAGCAGTTTACATACATTGGGGAATTGTAAGGTCAGGGAACCAGTCTAGCTGGCTCGTACCCGTTCATAGGTTTGTAATCGATTGCAAACAAGTGCAATGGTCAATTGGGGCCAGTATTTGAAAAAAAGCCAGTTGTTTCCAACGCTGATCGGCCGATCAGCGTTGGAAATGGATACAAAAATACCACTTTTCTTGAAAATTACAGTATACCAGGTGCCATAATTTTACAGGATGCTTTAGACTGTCATTTACCAACATCCTATTAAGGTATTTCGCCAAAACTTGGTAGTTTTATTTTTCGATGTTTGCAAATGTTGTATATTCCCTTTAAATGAAGAGGATAGATACCGTAAATGTTCAGGATGCATCAAATTGAAGGATGGCAAAGAATTGGTATTGAACATAAGAAAATACAGCAATGTTAGCACTTTCAAGACTCACTAAAAAAATTTCAAAAATAGGCCTACTCAGTTCAAGTTCAAGTGCGTCAAGTTAAAGCATGTTAAGAACACTCAGCTGATTTTGGGCTGAATTTGGCAATGATATAAAGCAGGAAAAGTCACTTTATGTCTTTGGAATCATCTGAATAGTTCACTTAAGATAACACACTGAATATCAGCAAGCTTAATTCTGTGGAAAGAGGGCAGGGTTTTGATATACATGTAATTTAGAGGAAAATTATGGGGCTAAAACTGCAATGAAGACAACCTGCCTGACCCGGAAAAAAAAGATGGAGACTATGTCCACGCCGTTTGTAAACACGCTGCTCATTGGCTAAAACAAAACTTTAGTGACAAAATGCGAAAATAACGTGGTTTTTGATTGGTTGAGAATAACAGGGAGATAGGGTTAGAATAGCCAATGCCAATAGCCAATAGCCAAATGACCATGCTTTTACATGAATATTGTATGAACGGCCATGAAGGCTTTTTTTCATCATTTGGGCGATTATAAGTTTACATTTGTAGGGAACACTGTTTCTGATTACTTTAATTGGGAGTAATGTTAATGAACAGAATTAATTTTAAAATGTACACATTTCATGGGAATAAAAATCAGGCTGTCCAAAAATGTTCTTTTGTGTCTGCACATGTTTTTCGGGGAGTGTTCCACAACATGGAACAGCAGGCCCGTGCGGTCTCACATAAAATGTTGAGAACTTTTGGAACTCGCACGTCTCTGGCCTTGGTGCAAAAAAGGTAAAGAAGTCTCCATTTCTCCATCCATCTGTTTATATACATGTAGTCCGTCTGTCCCCGTACTCGAGGGTTGGACTCCATGATGATCAAAGAAGTCTCATTAACTTCAAAAGTACTTATCAAAATTACAAAAAACATGATTTAAGGCCGAATAAAAATTTTTAAAAAAAAAACATGGCTTGTCCGGGGTTTTTAAAAAAAAGGAGGAAGCGGGGCTTTTTATTTTCTATTTTTAATTTTTTTTCAAGGTGGACGCCATTTTAAAATTTCCTACAACCGTTGGTGTTCCACTGTTCAAAGACACTTCTTAAATGAAAGACAAGTTGGACAAGAGAACCGAACATATTTACAGTGTCATTTAGAGTTGTATTGGTATTTTTTGCCGATGAATTTGTGGACTTTTTTGGTGTTTTTTTACTGCATTTTTCAAAAATAAAAAATAATAAAAAAATCCAGGCGGCCTCCAAAAAGGAAGCAGGCGGGGACGAGAAACATTTTTTTTTTTACTTCGCCTAATCTACAGAGAAAAATGAGTGCTTGAGGCTGCAAAAGTCATTTTGGAATTAACTGTGATTTGCAAAAATCATTTTTGAATGCAACATGTAGAAAACAGAGGTTTCCTACAACTACAGTGTTATAGGGAACCGGGCCAGTGACTACACGATTGCCCCAAATTGACATTGACCATGTTGACAAAGATATGAAACTTGAAAATGAAAGAGGTTTGGCAACACTGTATGCGAAAGTCCAGGGAAATGTCAAAGTACAGTGCGCGTTAGCCAATAGCCACATACTGTGTTACTACATAAATATCCTCGATCTTCCTATTTCTGCGCAGATAAGGCTTTGCAACCAAGTACATGCTTAAAAATAGCAAAGCAACCACTCTTTTCCTCAACAAAACTTATATTGTTGGCTTAATTACGATCATCCACTATACCAAAAAGGCAACAAAAAAAAGCTTCTGCTTCCGATTACATGGCATTTGAAAATAGGGTAGGTAGGTAGGGAAACTTTTTTTTTTGCCAATTTTTAGTGTGTACGATCATATGGATGCATCTGCATGTAGTCAAGGGTAAAAGATAGAAATTGATGGTTTTGGGATATTTTTTTCTCATTTTCCCCATAAAAAAATGAGGGTAGGGACCTGTCAGAATAGGGTAGGTACATGTAGGGAAACCGGAAGCAGAACTATTTTTTTTGGGGGGGGGGGCGCCTTAACAAAGCGAAATCTCTTTATTTGTGGCAGCAAGCGGGATTTTCTAAAGCGTGCAGTTTTGGCGCGGTAGAAAAAAATCCTGCCTAATTCTACACAGGGGACGCTTCATGAAAACTCTGTGCTGCAGTGCTGTCCGAGCTATGTAAAGTTCTCAATATAATTTTTTTTTTTTTTTAAACGAGTTAGACTCCTTGGTTTAAGGAAAATTGAGCTATTCAAACATTTTCTTTCTTTTTCCTTTTTTTTTATGCCAATACACTTTTTATAATTTCAAGATTAATTTCGGCAGGCCTATATTGACATATTTACATAAATACATTTTATACATATTTACCTATTTATTGTAGATCCCACTTTTACATTGTTATTTTGATGATCCCAATAAACAGAGACAAATGTCAAGATGTCAGATTTTAATAGTTCCGACAAAAAAAAATCCAAAATAATATAAGAAACGAGTCTTTTTGGTTGCACCGTAAGTTTTTACACCCCTGTAAAAATGCAAAGTATTATCTATGATATATAAACTTTAATACTGACGACAGTGGGAGACCAAGAAAGGTCATCGTATGGTCATATTTTCAACTTCTGCCAGGCCCGGAAGCATCGATCTGCCTGCATTTGTTGTAGTAGCTGTACAAAGCAAATTTTTTTAATTATTTTTTGCCTGAAATCCCGGTAAAACCTGCACTTTCCTAATGCCTTTTTTTCGCCTGCTGGTTAAAGGTCGTGCATCAAAGGATACGATCCGAGTGAAAGTATGTCATTTTTAGGATGCATGCGTTGCAAAATATAAGCTAAACATGAGTGCGTAGAAATAGGAGCGCGTAGTTTTTAGCTAGTCTGCTAAGGACTTTTAATTGTCTGACGATATCACTATTTATTTAGGCCTATTTATTTATTTATATTTCATTTTCCGGGATATTACAAACAGTGAACTACAGACAACACAACTACATGTACAAATAACACTGAGTAGTAAACATAACAGAAAACATAACAGAAAACGGAAAGATTTCCATATACTAGCTGGAGTTACCCAGCCCTAAATTTTATCATTGGGTTGTACAACCCAATGATAAAATTTAGGGCTGGGTAACTCCAGCTATCCATATATACAAAGTTCACTAATTTTCCTCTGTATTACTATTAACAAGCCCCCAGATAGCAATTTCATGTCATCAAAGTCAATTTGAGCAGTGAGAAAATACAAGCATTTTCTTAGAAAACACTTACAATTTTTCAGTCCAATCTCATAGGGTTTGTACACAGGGTGTTGAGTGAACTTCGTCATGTTCGTACATGGAAATCTTTCCCAGAAAACAACACCCAAAAAGCTCCCGCAGCTCAGGATTACCCAAAAGAAACAAGTTTCTGTCGAGGGGCTCTCCAAACTAGGCCTAGGCCTAATTGGATATCAGTTTTATGCAATGGTTTCACAACTTACAGGCACCCTTTCTAATCAAAGGAAAGGATTCTAATCAGCGATACCGCGTAGTCAGCCGTCTCACAGTGTATGAAAACCTCTTTGTGATCAGACATTACATAATGCAGCAGGGCGCAGCCATCTTGATTTATTGATGGACACGTGATTGGAGTGCGTTTTCCAAAATTCGGTTTCGTTTCAGTTACAATACTTTAATCCTGAGCTAGGAGCGTGCCCAATACTCGCAACTAGCCCAGCAGACTCCGTTGTGTACAGTCGTAATGCAATGAAGACGTCGTCCAACCTGGGCTAACTCGCAACATACAATTAAATGTATTATCTGGAGTCTGAAGCCGAAACCAATATTTGGAAAAACGAGTCTTAAGATTTTGTTTTCACTAAAAATAAGTATTAATATTAGTGAAAAAAAGTAAAACTGCTGCAAACTGCTTACTGACTGGATGGACCTGAAATATATAAATCTTAAAATTAATGTGGCCTGACGTTGCGAACTTAGCAAGTTCTTCTTCAGAGGCTAAAACAGAAATGACAGAGATACATACATTAACATGGGGGTGCACACAAACATGCAGGGCTGAAAGAAGAAACACAAAAGGAGGATTAGGTGCGAAAGGTGTGGAAAGATGCAGGGGAGGGTGGATGAGAGAACAAAGAAACAAAGGGAGATGGCAAACCACAAGGGGTCTGGTATGAACAGGGGAGGGACCAGAAAGGGGAAGGATCAAAGGTCACAGGGAGTGGGAACGGACAAAAGAGTGTGAGAGTGAAGGGATGATGCGGGGGGGGGGAACAGTATGGAGGTGGAAAGGGATGAAAGATGGCGGGAGATGTGTAAACACAAACAAGGAAGACCAGATGGATTATCTGTAACAGAGGACAATGGAGGAAGAAAAGGATTAATCATTTCCAAGTTGGATGTTGAGACCATGTGGTTGAATAGTTCGAAGACGATTCATCCACACCTTCTCTCTGCTGAGGCGAACTGACTCTTTGCGATGGCCAAGAGATTCAATGCCCTGCAAAATCATATCAGAAATGGAGTGGTTAGGCAGGTTGAAGTGATGACCAACAGGGGTGTCTAGTTTCTTGGTGTTGACCGTTGACCGATGGGCATAGAAACGCTTCTTGAGCGTATTCTTAGTCTCACCTACATACTGCACTCCACAGACCCTGCAAGAAATGAGATATATGACATTAGAGGTGTTACAAGTGATGTTACCAATGGTTCTGTGGGTAGTGACAGAAGAGTGGCCAGAAAAGGAGTCAGACTCCTGGATATGAATCTGGCAGACAACACATCTGGAACTGCACTTGAAAGTACCATGCTGGGTGGGAGGGGATGCATCTAAGGAAGGGACTTCAGCTCGAACAATCAAGTCCCGTAGATTTCGAGGACGCCTGTAAGCCAATGTGGGGCCGTTGGGGATGGCGCGGGCAAGGCGATCTGAAGTATGGAGGATATGATGATTGTCATTAGTGATTTTGCGGAGGGGAGGGAGATTGGGGTGAAACGTGGTAACCAAGGGAATCATGGGTTTGGCCATGGCATCAGGGGCCTTTCCCGTGAGAGCTAGATTTCTGGGGATAGCTTTAGCTCTGGCAATGGCACGATGAACTTGGCGAGAGCTGTGACCCCTGGCCACCAAGTTGTTCTTCAGTATCTGTGTATGGCGGGAGAAATCGGAATCATTAGAACAAATTCTTCTGAGTCTGAGTGCCTGGCTAAACGCTATGCCAGTTTTGCAGTGCCTGGGGTGACAGCTGGAGGAGTGGAGGTACTGGTGGGTGTCTGTGGGTTTGGAATACAGGTCAGTGGTTAGTGAGTTGCCTTGCTTGCGGACGGTGACATCCAGAAAGTGGGTTTGGTGAGCCGAGAACTCCGATGTGAATTTGATGGTTCTGTGGAAGGAATTGATGTGGTTAGTGAAGGTCAAGAGACTGTCCTCATCACTGGTCCAGATGAAGAAAACATCATCAATATATCTCCACCAGATCCAAGGGCGACATGGGGCCGAGGCAAGAATGCGTTCTTCGAGGTCACCCATGAAGAGGCAAGCCATCGACGGGGCCATGCGAGTGCCCATTGCAGTGCCGTGTACCTGTAGATAGTGTTCACCAAGGAAGGAAAAATTGTTCTTCGTTAGTATAAGTCTCATGAGGGTGGCAACATCACTGATGGGAGGAGTCGTGTGTCCTGCCTTGGCCAGAGCCAAGGAGCAAGCACGAACACCCTCCTCATGTGGGATGTTGGTGTACAGAGATGAGACGTCGAAAGTCCCAATGATGGCTGTGCTGGGAATCTGGTCCTTGATTCCTTCAAGCTTGCGTAGGAAGTCTGGGGTGTCGTGAATGTATGACGAAATCTGTGGGACAAGGGGTTTGAGAAAACTGTCAATGAACAGGGAGATGCGTTCCGTGGGTGAGCCATTACCGGAGATGATGGGTCTACCGGGGTTGCCAGCCTTGTGAATCTTGGGTAGAAGGTAAAATCTGGCAGTCCTACAATCACAGGGAGAAAGAAATTTGTGAGCTTTCTTCGACAACTGGTCACGTGATCGCATATCGTCAAGTACCTGTTGTATATCTTGACAGAAAGTGCCTGTGGGGTCAGAGTCAAGGCGGGTATAGTTAGTGCGATTATCCAACTGGCGGTGGGCCTCATCAATGTACTGCTGACGATCCATGATGACCACAGCTGAACCTTTATCTGCTGGCTTGATGATGATGTCGGTGCGAGATGATAATCTCCCCAGAGAGGAGCGCCTGGCTCTCAACTCCTTGCGCTCTCGCACCGACATCATCATCAAGCCAGCAGATAAAGGTTCAGCTGTGGTCATCATGGATCGTCAGCAGTACATTGATGAGGCCCACCGCCAGTTGGATAATCGCACTAACTATACCCGCCTTGACTCTGACCCCACAGGCACTTTCTGTCAAGATATACAACAGGTACTTGACGATATGCGATCACGTGACCAGTTGTCGAAGAAAGCTCACAAATTTCTTTCTCCCTGTGATTGTAGGACTGCCAGATTTTACCTTCTACCCAAGATTCACAAGGCTGGCAACCCCGGTAGACCCATCATCTCCGGTAATGGCTCACCCACGGAACGCATCTCCCTGTTCATTGACAGTTTTCTCAAACCCCTTGTCCCACAGATTTCGTCATACATTCACGACACCCCAGACTTCCTACGCAAGCTTGAAGGAATCAAGGACCAGATTCCCAGCACAGCCATCATTGGGACTTTCGACGTCTCATCTCTGTACACCAACATCCCACATGAGGAGGGTGTTCGTGCTTGCTCCTTGGCTCTGGCCAAGGCAGGACACACGACTCCTCCCATCAGTGATGTTGCCACCCTCATGAGACTTATACTAACGAAGAACAATTTTTCCTTCCTTGGTGAACACTATCTACAGGTACACGGCACTGCAATGGGCACTCGCATGGCCCCGTCGATGGCTTGCCTCTTCATGGGTGACCTCGAAGAACGCATTCTTGCCTCGGCCCCATGTCGCCCTTGGATCTGGTGGAGATATATTGATGATGTTTTCTTCATCTGGACCAGTGATGAGGACAGTCTCTTGACCTTCACTAACCACATCAATTCCTTCCACAGAACCATCAAATTCACATCGGAGTTCTCGGCTCACCAAACCCACTTTCTGGATGTCACCGTCCGCAAGCAAGGCAACTCACTAACCACTGACCTGTATTCCAAACCCACAGACACCCACCAGTACCTCCACTCCTCCAGCTGTCACCCCAGGCACTGCAAAACTGGCATAGCGTTTAGCCAGGCACTCAGACTCAGAAGAATTTGTTCTAATGATTCCGATTTCTCCCGCCATACACAGATACTGAAGAACAACTTGGTGGCCAGGGGTCACAGCTCTCGCCAAGTTCATCGTGCCATTGCCAGAGCTAAAGCTATCCCCAGAAATCTAGCTCTCACGGGAAAGGCCCCTGATGCCATGGCCAAACCCATGATTCCCTTGGTTACCACGTTTCACCCCAATCTCCCTCCCCTCCGCAAAATCACTAATGACAATCATCATATCCTCCATACTTCAGATCGCCTTGCCCGCGCCATCCCCAACGGCCCCACATTGGCTTACAGGCGTCCTCGAAATCTACGGGACTTGATTGTTCGAGCTGAAGTCCCTTCCTTAGATGCATCCCCTCCCACCCAGCATGGTACTTTCAAGTGCAGTTCCAGATGTGTTGTCTGCCAGATTCATATCCAGGAGTCTGACTCCTTTTCTGGCCACTCTTCTGTCACTACCCACAGAACCATTGGTAACATCACTTGTAACACCTCTAATGTCATATATCTCATTTCTTGCAGGGTCTGTGGAGTGCAGTATGTAGGTGAGACTAAGAATACGCTCAAGAAGCGTTTCTATGCCCATCGGTCAACGGTCAACACCAAGAAACTAGACACCCCTGTTGGTCATCACTTCAACCTGCCTAACCACTCCATTTCTGATATGATTTTGCAGGGCATTGAATCTCTTGGCCATCGCAAAGAGTCAGTTCGCCTCAGCAGAGAGAAGGTGTGGATGAATCGTCTTCGAACTATTCAACCACATGGTCTCAACATCCAACTTGGAAATGATTAATCCTTTTCTTCCTCCATTGTCCTCTGTTACAGATAATCCATCTGGTCTTCCTTGTTTGTGTTTACACATCTCCCGCCATCTTTCATCCCTTTCCACCTCCATACTGTCCCCCCCCCCCCGCATCATCCCTTCACTCTCACACTCTTTTGTCCGTTCCCACTCCCTGTGACCTTTGATCCTTCCCCTTTCTGGTCCCTCCCCTGTTCATACCAGACCCCTTGTGGTTTGCCATCACCCTTTGTTTCTTTGTTCTCTCATCCACCCTCCCCTGCATCTTTCCACACCTTTCGCACCTAATCCTCCTTTTGTGTTTCTTCTTTCAGCCCTGCATGTTTGTGTGCACCCCCATGTTAATGTATGTATCTCTGTCATTTCTGTTTTAGCCTCTGAAGAAGAACTTGCTAAGTTCGCAACGTCAGGCCACATTAATTTTAAGATATTAATATTAGTATTAGAGCATACTTTTTTTATATATATCTTTGGTTCTCATTTCCGACCGATCCTATTTTGGGCTCTCGACCAA